GCGCCTCTGGCCCCGGCAGCCCGCCCCGCCCAGTGGGGGGCCTGGATGCCCTGGGCTTTCCCGGCTGGCCCCCGTTTTTAGCCACTGCCCCCGGTATTGGTTTGGGAAGGGAAAGGGGGTATTTGAGGAAGGTGCTGGGCCCTCCATGGCACCCCCTCCTCTTTCGGGGGAATCAGACGTGGGGGACTTTGCCACCTGCAGAACCACGACGGGGCGCAGCCCGCCCCGCCCAGTGGGGGGCCTGGATGCCCTGGGCTTTCCCGGCTGGCCCCCGTTTTTAGCCACTGCCCCCGGTATTGGTTTGGGAAGGGAAAGGGGGTATTTGAGGAAGGTGCTGGGCCCTCCATGGCACCCCCTCCTCTTTCGGGGGAATCAGACGTGGGGGACTTTGCCACCTGCAGAACCACGACGGGGCACTTGGGCGGGTTGGGCTGGCCCTGGACAGCAGGGGGGACACTCCTTGGCCAGGGGGCTTCCTGACTTTGTCCTGAGGCTTTTGACTTTTTTTCTCAGACCAAGATACATGGTCGTGACCGGGTGAAGCTGATGGAGAGTCTGGTGGTGGGAGATATTGCAGAGCTGAGGCCTAACCAGGTGGGCCCCTCTGGTCCTGCTCAGTGGGCGTTCTTGGTCACCAGGCGGCACGTCCTCACCTGGGGCTTGGGGCGCGGAGCCCCTGAGTCATGTCCAACCCTCTCAGAGATGGGCCTGTCCCGCCCTGTCCTCCCCACATCAGGCTGGGAGGCTAGAAGCCCAGGCTCAGGTCCTGTTCTGTGACCTTCCGTGCGCCTAACCCCTCGCCCTTCAAGTGCAGTCCCTGGACCACAGCCTCCGCCACCGAGGGGCTTGTGAGGGCTCCACTCAGCCCCGCGCAGGCCTTCTCTTCTGGCAGAGCCTGCGTTTAACAAGGTCCCGCATGACTCTCCACCTCGCCCTCCCCCCGCCCCCCCCATGTGGGGCCGCGGCGGCAGCCTCAGCACTTTGGGGCTGCCGTGGAGCACGTGAGGTCATCAGGATGGACTTGGAGGCTTTCTGTCCCGGGTTTGGAGATGGACTGAGCTGTCCCGGGCTTGGGTGGGTTAGAGCAGCAAGTCCCAGGTAGCACGGATTAAGTGTGAGATGGGGCTCTCAGTACTGAGTGGGTAGGGGTGCAGAGGCCTACCAGTTCACGGAGGTCCCCAAGGTGAGGAAGGAGTGGAAATGTTCTCAGTGCATGAGGATCAAACACCCTGGGCTCACCCTGGCAGGTTTGGTTTAGTGGGTAGAGTGTTGGCCCGCGGACTGAAGGGTCCCGGGTACCTAAGTTGCAGGCTCAATCCTCATCCCTTGTCGGGGTGTGTGTGGGAGGCAACCAATTGATGTTTCTCTTTCTCCCTCTCCCTTCCACTCTCTAAAAATCAATGGAAAAATATCCTCCATGAGGATTAACAACAAACAAACAAAAACATCCTGGGCTTGGGCAGCGGCCTGAGTGACCCAGCCTTGCTCCTTGCAAACACACACCCCTGCCCCGTTATGAGGGTTCATGAATTTGTGGGGGCTGAGTGGGCCCCCGGGTGTGTCTCACACTTGACACTGGCCTTCTGGACCCGGATGCAAAGTGGCTCCACTCTGGTGCTAGGGGACCCTGTCGCTGTTCACCAACGAGGCCGGGGGCATCTTGGATGACTTGATTGTGACCAACACCTCGGAGGGACACCTGTACGTGGTGTCCAACGCTGGCTGCCGGGACAAGGACCTGGCCCTCATGCAGGTACAGCCCTGGGTTCTAGGTGCCCCATCTTCCTTGTTGACAGAGCTGCCCAGGGCAGACCCGGCAGGGACCAGGGCCTCAGTCAGTACCTCTGAGGGAATGGGCAGAGGCCAGAGCGGGCCCTCCCTGGAGCATGCCAGGTGTCACTGGGCGGTGGGAGGGGAGCCGAGCCGGCCCCTAGGTGGGCACGCTCTGGTGAGGATGGAGGCCGGAGCTGGTGTGAGAGCCCGCAGACCGGGCGTGGGTC